TGCTCTTGCGACTTACATTCAGCCTGTCGCTGCTTTTCACATGCTTGTGCTTTTCTTTTTTCAATCTTGAGTTCTGCCTGAATGTTTTCCGTCAAGGAATCTGCAGGAACCATGACATGTCCAGCACTCTCTGCCAACGCCAGGGTGTTGCCACCCACATCAGGGTTGATGGGAGCATAGGGCTTTGCAACATGTTGTGCTGCTGTCTCAGCAATCTCAGCCATGCGCTGGAAGTACGCCAGCTCTTCAGCAGACAAGTTCTGATACTTCTCTGAGAGTTCCTGAGCATTTTGAAATCCCCTGCGACCGCTTCCCCTGTTGGCCTCACTCAGGAAGGCAGTCCACGCATTGGATCTGTAAGTAACCTTTGTCTTTTGACCTACCTCCGCTTTGTTTGTAGAATCGGTTTTTGTTTGAACAGTAGCACCCCGATGGGTCTTGTTCCTCCGAAGTACCCATTCAGCAGACACAGACTCCAAATCAGGTTTGGTCACTTGCACACTGCGACTTGTTGTAATACGTCGAGTTGATGCATGCTGAGCCTCGAGCTGAGCTATGTCGATGTACATCTCAGAAGCGATAGCGGTCAGAAAATGCTGGGCTTCATCCCCATACCATTCTTCAGGAGAAAATTTGCTGGCAAAATGTTGTGTCAGCGGGCATTGCACACACTCAGGCACAGCAATGCGATCTAAGTTCCCCAAAAGAATACGAAAGAGTTGCACGGGGAAACCTCCCCAGACCAAGCCCAAATAGTGCCGCACTGAACAGCCAGATGCTGACAATAGACGAAACAACAGAACCTGGACTTTGCGCACATGCCCTACAAGAGGCATTGCAACCACCCGTTGGTGAAAGGTCTTGGCTAGATGTGAGAAGAATACCTGCAAATCAGATCCTTTGCACGCCTCCACCACAGCAAAAGACCTTTCTTGATTCTTGGCTACATGGGTTCGCTGTTCAAGCTCCCATTTCTCTGTTCCCCTCGCCAGAAGAGAGTATAGTAGCCGCAGCGGAGCTTGGATTGCAGTCCCCATCACAACCAAGACAGGTGCTGGATCTTTTTGCGCCCAAACCTTCATTTTTGTCTTCATTTGAGAAGTGATCTCTTTCCAGTCCATGTCGCCCGTCAGTATCTCCATAAGTGGTGCCTGGTAGTCTTCTGTGACTTCAGCATCAAGAACAACCTGTTTCTCCGCTGGTTGCGCTGGAGAAGGCTGTGGCTTTTGATTGTCGGCTGTAAAAAGCATCACTGAAGGCAAAAATAGCCCATGGACACAAGTCAACAAACCAAAGTAGCTGACTGCCTTGTCTATTCCAGTCCACTTTGACCTGCTGTAGAGTGGGGCCTTGCATGGCAAGAGCATTCCAACCAAGCACTTCTCAAAGGTTTTCATCACGTCATCTCTCTGCAAAGAGGCGTCAGTTGTCCAATAACAGACTCGATTCCAGTCTTGCCAGTCCCCGTTCAATAGCAGCCGCAAAGTGTGGCGTTGCATTTTGACTCGAAGCCAGCATGGATGTGTTGTGCGAGATTTCTCTCCAACAGCATCAGGCAGAAAAAGATTCAGGACTGCTTCTCGATAGTCATTGGCAAACTGATCGCATGGTGCTGGGCCATAACACACATCAAGCCGCTCAGATAGAACTTGAAGCAGACACTGTCTCAATTTGCGTGTGCTGCCTGCATTAGTCATTGCCAATGCTGAAGCGATCATGGCTTCACAATGCCCGTCACATTTCCGGAGCATGTGGGTGTTGCAGGTGGCAATGCGATGGACATCACATCCCCGATGTGACCATGTCCATTGGCCATAGTCCTTTTTCAAAGCAGCCTCTGCTGTCCAATTGCCTGAATAAGAGTCTGTGGTAGTGAGAGCAATGCGGTTTTGGAAAAGCTCCGCTGTGCGCTCCAGATGTCCCAGATTGTCGAGAATATTCTGTTGCGTTTTTCTGATGGCATCTCCAGTGTTGTGTTCAATTGCTTGCAGCCACGTTGGTACTTGAAACCTCATCATATGATAGGAAGAGGTCCGCACACATTCCACAAGCACCAATACGGCACATTCACTTTGCATCACTTTGGCAGTTTTCTCTGCTTGTTTTTCACCTTTTGCACTGACAATGATGCCTGACGGTGTCTCATCATACCTACGGCTCAAGCAAATGAGAATTCCCCGCATGGATCCTGTTGAAATCAAAGCCTCTAGTTTGCACAATACTGTGCCCAACAAATAGCCTGAAAAGAGCACAACTCCTGCAGCACTACGGATGACTTTCCTTTTCAAAGTTGTCCTTGGAATGTCCAAGCGGATAGCTTCTGCTTTCAGTGTGCTAATTGGCCGAGGCTTTAGCAGCAAATCAGCGTAGACATCATTGTCTTCACCATTGTCGACTCCAATGCGCCCCAAAACGCTTCTGGCTGCCACTGCCAATCTTTGCTGAGTGAGGGAGCCAAATGTATCCACAAGCAGGTATGTTGCAGGCTGCGGTTGACTGTCTTTCCCCCCTGACGCTGCACTATCTGCAAGCCGTTGCAACTTAATGGCCCGAGCTTTCTCAATTGGAAACCTTCTTGAGCCAGCACTGCTTTCAGCGCTTGCCTGCTCTTGGGCTTCCCGCTCCTTTTCATGGTCTTCTTTCATGAGTGCTCGGAATCGGTGACTTCCATGAGGTTTTTTGGTTTGCTTCTTTGCTTCTCTAGATTCCCAGACCTTCTTCTTGAGATCTGCAGCACGTGCATCGCTTCGCCGGTCAATCAGGTCAACTAAAGACCCCCAAGCAGACAGGTCTATATCGTCCTGTTCTGCATCTCCGCTGGCCGCCATGACTTCGACGCGATGAGAAAAAGTTGTTCTTGTTTCTGGTGTGCTGTGTGTATTCTCTGAATCGGCACCTCTACTATATAACTCCAGGTCCAGGTGTCTACTAGCCGATACTTGCCTAGGGCCTAGAGCCTAGCTTTCTTCTGCCCTGGAGTGTTTGTGGAAGGTAGCTACTGTGCTGTACAAAGGTCACAAATGGAGTGCACGAGTCTTTGGAGTCTTCAACTTGTTTGTTTGCGAGCCTTCCTGGCAATGCCGTTACTGAATATCACTCAAAGAAAATAGATACACTCTGACAACCATGTGTGCTGCTTGTGGGTATGCAAGCCGCAAACAATGTCCCGCCTGTCTCTTGAAATCATGGCATAGTCGGAGTACGAAGAACGCACCACGCACTGGTGGTAGCCGATGTGTTTGGCTTTGGCCAGGCTACTGTTGACTTCAAAGAGGAACCTCAGCAGCAGCAGCAGCAGCAGCAGCAGAGCAGAGCAGAGCAGTGTCAGCTGCACTTCGCACGTAGTAGATAGTTCTTTGATTGAAACATACAATGTTAAGAACGTTGTTGTCTATAAAGTGACCTTTAAAGTTTACTGCATCGTTTGTTTTCACCAAAGCCTGCAGCCTGCGCCTTTGGTACAAAATAAGGGTGGGTAATTGATATTCAGGAAACTGTGACATCGGAGTCTCCTCTGTGCAAAGACCGGAAGCCTCCACTTTGTCAAATCCTGGCACCTGCTCCATAACCACTGCCTTGTGGCTATGCTTGACCAGCATCTCCACTGCATCAACAAATGTTACGGACCACAAGGGGTGCTGCTTCACTGTGCCCTCAACATACCTCTTGCTTCTCTGAGAGGAATATGGTGGACATGGTGTTCCGAAAACACATAGATCACCCTCTGGCAACTTACATCCCTCAGCATGAGGATGCAAGAGGCATGGCTGACCACTGACCTGTGAAGACATTGTTTGGTGCACATGTTTAACTTCATGGTTGCTCTGCAAAACTGTTCGGAAGCAAGCATTACACTCACTGGCCGATTCTGCCACAAAGGGAATGCCCAGAGCCTCAGACGAAAGGGAAATGAGTCAAACTTGGTATCAAATGACATTAGAATTATAGTATGGTGAGCAGGTGGTGAGAGTGTTTTCTTAACATACGCATATAATGTAAACAATTGTTTTGACTGTTGTGTCACGCAAACACGAAGCCTTCAAAGCACATGCTTCTGCAAAAGCCCCTGTGCAGGAGGACACCAAGCATAGTTCACGTGTCGGTTGCTCTCCCTTCACCCTAGCTGCGCGATGACGGAGAGCACTCTTGATTTTGAAGACGTACCAGTCCTAAAATCAGCAAACAAACATGAACTCTTCTATTCTGGTTTGATTGTAGCATTGTTTGTAGCGGTGTGATCTGGCATATGGTGTGGTTGAAAAACATCAAGTGGATATAAACACTAATACGGTGAACCTTCATTAAAATGCTGCAAGCTGACGTCTGAAGTCTGCGGAGACCCTGGAATGACAGTGACGCTGTCTGATGATTCGTCTTCAGAGCAGATTCTGTAGCACTCTGCCTCACTCAACTCCTCAGCCTCTTCCTGGGAAGAGGAGATTTGCTTCGCAGCCAAAGCTGCCCAGCCAGACAAATCAGGCTCTGATCCTGATTCTGCTGAAGCCATGGCTGCCATGGCGGCTAGATTTCTAGCCGCTAGAAACTAGTTACTTTGAAGGATCCCCAATGCCTTGTGGCCTTGTACTTCTGAAATACTGTATTTCATATATCCAAATCTGTCTAATATTGGCAGTTTGACGCACAGCTGGACCCAAGTAACTACACTTCCTGAGCCACCATGCATCAGTAGCACAGCAATCTTTGCCTTTCTGAATGCTGTATTTTGTTGTTTTTTTTTTTGGTTTGTTTTTCTAATTCTGAAAATGTTTGTTTGTTTTTGGTTTGTTTTCTTTTTGTAAAAATTATTGTTTGAGCACATCCCCAAGACTATCGCAAATGGATGACATAAATGTATGTAAGTCCGTGTTGAGAAAGACCTGACACTTGTTCTCAGGAAGCGAAACGTGCTCTCGCCCTTCAACCAACCAATCAAACAGTATCTCTGGGCTGTGTCTTAAGGGTAACACCCCCTTGCTTTCCACCAGATCATGCCCAGCGGCATACATCTCGGGAGCCCAGTAGACCATGGTCCCCACCTCGCCGTTCGCGCTGGACCCCGACGGGGTGCCCGGGTTTTCGCTCCCAGTCTCAGAGAGGAGAGTCCACGCCACGCAATCTCTTTTTGGATATCGTATCCAATATAATATGTTATATTATGTATATGTATAAACAATAAATAGTAATAGATGTGTTTTTTGTATATACGAATATATCAAGCAGAACAACTCAACCACTCTGGGAAAATCGGAAAGACCCAAAGTGCCAAGATGTGTGTTCTCTCCTTCAGACCCACAGCGCCCTGGTTTCACGCGATGGTTTAGCAATTGCTTAAAGATTCCTAAAGAGGTGTGGTTGGATGAAACACCTCTCTCACGCATCAGCTTCTTTGCAGGACTTGGCTGCCAACTCGTCTGATGATGAAACCATTCTTAGCCACATGGGCCTAACCATTTGCGTTTACAACAACTAACCAGCTCTCACTCCCACTTGGGGACTAGCAAGCATTTGTCAGTCCCACTTGCAAGGCTCCACTCTGGGTGTCCAGTTCTGGGTTTTTTAGGTGGAGAGGGCCCCTGAAGAGTGGATGAGAAGAAACCGATATGGACCACCAGATATGGGCCCACCCCAATCACCCTCTGTTCTTGCCATAGCAAAACAAAGAGTCTTCGTGAAAGCCGCTTTTGTTTGAGTCAAAGCCACTTCTGAAGGTTCCCGAACTCTCGCACCGTGCAAAGAATCTCTCACAAGTTCACGCGAATCACCATCCCTATCCATCCCTATCCATCCCTATCACCCCAGGTGTGTCGCCTGCTCAGCCAAACGTGTCGTCTGCTCCGTGATTTGACAAGCCGAACCAAAGTCACCCAGCACCAAGCGGCACTCAGGGTCCTTCGACGGAAGTTGCTTCGCGCGAGTGCCGCGGAACGTCGTTGCTTCGGCGGAACGTACGCGCCATCGAACGCGCAAGCTGTTCACGCGCCATCGAACGCGCCGCGGACCATGCAATGAAAAAGTCTTCCAAATCGGGTCCGCCCAGTTCACCCAAGCGGCGGACCTCCACAAACCTCCACAAATCTTCAGGTCTTCCGTCAAGTCGTAAAGAGAACCGAATCCTTTCCACTTCAATACAGCCGAGTCCTCCAAGTTCAGACGGACCAGGTGCATCATTTGCTCCAAAGAAGGTCATCCACAGTCCCTCTCTTGTCTCACCCACACCACGCCCATGTGCCCTGTCCACCACGCCGGGGTGCTGTCAGACTTGCCCGGTCTGTCATGAAATTCTCGGGCTTGATATCACCTGGGCTACCCGATTCGACCTAGACTTTTGAGTCGAGGGACTGCCGCCAGGCGGTCAAATGGTGCCTGCCTATTGAAGAACATATGAAGGAAAACTCGAGAGGGTCCGGAGTGTACTCAATGCACATTGCCGTTCAAAGAAATGCCAATTCTTTCTTTCACAAATGCAGGTCGGGAGTGTACTCGATACACTGCACGAAAAGGAAAACACAGCGAAAACATCTTAGTATGGCTCGGCCACGCTCTAGGGTCCCCTGCGATGAACGATGGAGTGACTATGGAGATACTTCACTGCAGCGGCCATCTGTCGCACCACGTGCCGAAGGCCATTGAGGTTAGAAGCTTCCCTGAGGTGGAGGACGCTGAGGGATGAGGTGGGACTCAAAACTCCGAAAACTCAAACCTCGGACCAAGTGACTCACATGAGGTTAAAAACAGGTGGAGAACATAAAGAAAGAAGAACTTCGCAAAAGCCCAATCAATCATCGTCAATCGGTTTCTTCCTTCGATCCAAGCCGAATTCGAGGGGACCTGACCAACGGAGAATCGGGACGAACTGAGCGATTTTCACCTCCTCGACAGTCAACAAAACACCAACTGCATAAGGGATTGACCTGAAAACAACCTAATACCAATGGCCTCCAACCTACTAGCGAGCGATGGCCTCAAACCCAATAGCAATAAGAAGTACAGTAGAAGAAAGTAATGTAAGATTTGTAGACTGATAGTGGACTACTTCAAGCATCTAAAAGCCACTTGGTTGGAATATCTCCAAGACCTCCTAGCACCAACCGTGCAGACCGCCGGAAAGGGAAACCCGTGCCCGACGTGCCTCATCACATAGTTCTCCAATCCTTAGCTGAACAACCAAAGGAGCCCAGATTTGGCCATGACCCACCGCAACACTATCGTTCTGACATACCCACCTTTTCAGCAACCCTCCAGTTCTGGTACCAGGATAGATCAGGGTGAAGCGACACCAAATCTGGAGAATTCCGGCAAACAATGGCCCAAAGAAGTCCTTTCAACATCCAAAAAGCTGCCGACATCACTTCAGCACCTCTCAGCACCGCACAGTTCTCATGCCAATCTCTCGGCACCGCACCGCAGCGTCCTCTTGGCTTCAGCCGGACAGCAAATCGAGCGTCCATCTAAGAGGTCGTGATGCATGCGGTCCATGACAAAGTAGACGGACTTCCCGTCATCAAAAACGTCGTGGACCTTCATAATCGAGCCTCACGTCCGTGGGATGAATTTTCGTCGTCCGCGAGCGCCGTCCGCTGCGACCGGAAAGCGCCCAACTCAACATCGCAACAGTACCTGGCCCATTCCAGGCGTCATGAGCGCATTACAAACCTATAGACATCTATAGACTATAGATCTACATTGGACTGGTCCTGGTATGTCACAGTTGTACCGCCTCATTCTGTCTAAGTGCTTGAAAAGACTTGATGTGCTTTCATACACACTGACACAAAGCACTTGATAGGACCCTTCGGTACTACCCATCTACTACTCATCTACACCATCCCTAATCCTCACCGCGTGGCTATGGCAGAGGCTGCGCAACAGCTGCGCTTCACTTCGCAGCTCTTCAGCGGCGCCGGGCCGCGCCGCGCAGACCTGACGCCGTGCGGCCCCAGTTTTTCCCGCGCAGACTGGACGAGCGCCTTCCCGGGAGGTGTCGTCTTTTTCCGCGGTTTTGCCAAAAAGAAAAACTTATGTTAAGTTACAAATAGCGATGGCCTCCAACCTAATGGCGATGACCTCCATCCCAACAACGAACACAAAGAAGTGAGTCCAATGGTCCTAGCCTGGAGTCATCCAATGGTCTTCCCAGGACCCGCGCCTTGGCGGCCAAGGCCTTCTGGTCACCATATCGATGGCAAGCATAGACAAAGCCACCGAAGCCTGGCTTGGCTTCGGTAGACCCCAACGGGACCGAAACGAAAGCACACTCAAAGCACCTTGGAGGACAGAAACAAACAAAAAAAACCTCAAAAGCTGCAAAGCTTCTGGCCTTCACCGAGCATGTCGCCCACTTCATAGTTGCCACGGAGATGAATTGCTGCCCGCGCAGCCATGGGATCCTTCCACTTTGGGAGTGTCCTGCAGGCGCGTCGTTTCGGCACGCAGAAAACTGAACTCGCCCTTGGCGGAGCGGAGCCGCCAGAGCTCAAAGAGCAGCGCCTGCAAAATGGATGTTCTCTTGAGCCATGCCACCGGACGAGGCGAACTGGTGCTGCTTTCAAAAGAGGAAGAGAAAAGACCGTTTGGAACGCGGTAGGTTGGAAACCATCGCTACTAGGTTGGAGTCCATCGCTAGCAGGTTGTAGTAGACCATCGCTCTTAGGTTGGAGGCCATCGCTCTCTCCGAAGTGTTTGGTCCACATGAATTTGCAGATGACTTCAAAACAACACTCGGAACAACAAAGAATAGTACATGAACAATCCTCCAAGCACCAAAAAAAGACATCAAACCTCTCGTAGTTAGTTGTGAACAAATACACACTCCATCTCCCTCCATCTCAGGCTGAGCTCCCGCACCGCACTGCCCTGCACGTCTTCCCAGCCGGGCCTCGGGCCTGGAGACCAAGGCCCAAGGTGTTTCACGGATGGATTGGTCCCAAGCATGTCGCAAGACTCAGAGGTCACCAAAAATCTTCATGGAAATTCTTCGAAGTCCTGAAGAACAAGCGAATCCGAACTTCTTCCATCCGCGTCGAATTCTGTCGATTTTCCCCGCGCCTTCCTCCCTGAAGCGCTCAGCGCCGGCGAGGCGCTGGGCGACGCGGGCGGGGAGCCTCGTCGGTCACGGACCCGCCGTCCGTCCCCGTCGGGACGGAAATGGTCGAATCGGACGTTAGTAGCTCCTGGCCTTAAAGGAGCAAGGACGCTACGAACGGAACAAAGGGCATCACTACGAACGGAGCAAGGCCACAAAAAACAATTGAGTGTACAAGTCGGTCCCACAAAAGACCCGAGACCATCTGGTTGCTTTTCTTACTTATCTTTGTTGGCAGCTATGTTGCTGTTCATGGCAGTCAACCGCCAAATTGGGCTTGTCCTCATAATCGAAATCTGCTCTTGATGAGATGGATCCTGCCATGTTCGCAACCACAAATGTCCAATAAATCATGCTCGGAGTTGTCCTTCTGTATCACGGGGTGTGTGTCACTCCCGGTGGGACTGTGGCGGAAAAACTACCAGCATCATGGAGTGAGTGTCACACTCACCACGATGAACTTTCAATTTCTACGTCATCTCCAGGACCATCTCTCGGAGGTTTATCCCCGCGGCAAAAGCTGATGGGTTGTTCATGTCGCCCTCAATGACCCGAACGATCGCTGCAAAGACCAAAGCTTCAAAGTGGTCAACACGTGGTTCTTTTCGACCTGTAAGTTGTGTTGAAAGTTTGCCTCGAACAAAAAATTTTGCAATCTGTCCTCTCCCCACCTGCCTACATGATAAATCCGAAAGCCATCCAAAAACAAAACAACATACATATATGTTTTACTACACATAACTTTGAGTACGCAGGATTAGCCACGAGCTCCCAGATATAGAAACACAACAATGTTGGAAAAAAAATGAAAAAGACTGAATGAATCCCTGTGTTTGGTGGGTGTTTGGGCAGGTCCATAAGTCCCCAATCCCTTCACCTTCACCGATCTACAAGACATGGGTGTGTGTTTCAATAGGGAGACAACCTCGCCCTGGCTGGTCAGACTGGTGTCTTTCTTCGACGGAGCTGCACTGGGATGTCTCACTATTTGAGCTACACACCACCCATGTTGTCTACCAGAGCCACAAACATCCCTCAAGTCCCCCTTTCACTGTCCCCCAACAGGTGCCTTCCAGGTCTGGCACCAACAGCGGCCGATGAGCCGGCACCCCCTGCGGAGGTTTATGAAGCGAATTCCATCCAGCGATGGCCTCCAACCTAATTGCGATGGCTTCCAACCTAATTGCGATGGCTTCCAACCTGATTGCGATGGCCTCCAACCTGATTGCGATGGCCTCCAACCTACTAGCACAAAATGTGTACACTCTGACAAACAGATCACATGGAATTGGATGATGGCATGAGCCCTTGGAGGGTTTTCCACTTCCATGTGAGTCGGAGTGTAGGAGTCTTCTTCTGCCTCCGAAAAACGCCTGTAAAAGAAGGTGTTATTCTTCGCGGCGTGTGGAGATCAGTGCGGTTTCCCTGTCGGACTCACCCTAACAATCCCACTGACCTGAAGCCGGACTCACCCGCGAGCGAGAAGAGTCAGTGCTCTGTGGAGTGTGAGAGTGATCTCATGCAGCTCAGCTCTCATCACCAAACGTCTCAAAGGATAGTGTGGTTCTGGGGCCCAGCCGCGCTCCATCCACCGGTCTATCAGTTGACAAGTCTGAACCTGGCCTCAGAGCGTCCAGACTTGGACGACAAGCTTGGAGATGCCTCGGACCCGAAGCGGGCTTCGAGATGAAACTAGGGGCTGGGGCGTCGGTCCAGGACTAGTCCTGACTTCATGACCAGTGCCTCCGCATCAACTCACCATCTACTCTCATCGCTGTCGGCACATTGTAGAGAATCCATTGTATGTGGGAAACTGGACCTCGGGGCTTATCAAGTCAACATGAGAAAGTTAAAACATGGCAGTTTCATGCCACGAAGATGAGACTTAAACCTCAAAGCCTGCGTTTCTTTCCATCTTCATCTTAGTCCTTCCGTGGCCCCGACTGGAACGGAGGGGCCCATAGCAGGCCTGGGGAGCGGATCGCGGATAGGGTCCCCACAACACGGGGGGCCTGTGTATGAGAGCAAGCAAAACATCAGCCTTGCAAACATCAGCGTGTCATCCACCAACTACAGTGATCACTCAAAAACACAACATCACCCATCAAGTCACCTCAACCAACCTGGAGCAAAGTACGTTTCAAATCTCTTGTACAAGTCCGCCCACACCGCTTGTCGGTGCCGGGCGTGCTATTGGGGCTCTTGAGCTCTGCCGCCTATGCAAATAGCTCTGCTACGGGGGGGGCCTTCTTTTTCGCGCGTGCACGGCTATGGTTGGGCTGCAGGGCCACTCGGGAGAGCGCTTTGGAGGTACATGTTTGGAGGATTTTTCGTTACGTCGTGCTTGCAGGGCCACTAGGGAGAGCGTTTTTGGAGGAGTTTTTGTGTTTTGGGGTGGTTTCTGCGTTGATTCTTGCTCGGTTGCAGGGCCACAGGGGAGAGCGTTTTGGAGGTGTATTTTGGGATGGTTTTTGGCAAGGCCGAAGTTATATCACCATTATGGGCCCCAAGGTAGACGAAGTTGGCCCCAAAATGGCTCCAACGCAGCTGTAAAACAGCCAACGTGGCGCCTAGATGGCTACTTCCACTTCACTAACTTCGGCTGTTCGTGCACTGTGTGGGCGGCTGAGCGTCTTGAATATATATATGTATGTATAAACACCATTTACATCCATTTCCTCATCTCTTCGTCCCTTCTCCCCCAGGCGCCCCAGCGTAGTTGGGAGGCTGGACATGGGCGTCGCCGGCACCGGATCTTCCAACTCGGGGCCTGCGCTGTCGGCGCACCGCGCTGTCGGCGTCCCTGGGAGCCTGGGGAGCTTGGTCGAAAATGAAACTAACTCCCTAGTAGTAGTAGTAGTAGTAGTAGTAGTAGTAGTAGCAGTAGTAGTAGCAGTAGGAGTAGCAGTAGTAGTAGTGGTAGTAGTAGGTAGTAGTAGTAGTAGTAGTAGTAGTAGTAGTAGTAGTAGTAGTAGTAGTAGTAGAAGTAGTAGTAAGTAGTAGGTAGTAGGTAGTAGGTAGTAGGTAGTAGGTAGTAGGTAGT